TTTTACTACTATTAATGTTAATAATAGTTTCTTTTATTTTTAATTGTTTTCATTTAGGATATATAATTATTATATCTGTTCCCATCTGCTTTTTGTCAATGTAAACGCTGAAGTTGCTCTGATGTACTTGTCCTCACACGCAAGCTTGTCAGGTGTATTAGATCAGCCCATGGTCCACTTCAACCCCGCCGATCAGTGGTTCTGCAGCGTCGGTGCCACACCCACCACCACCAGGTACACTCGGCACGGCGATGCCGGCGTGCCCGGCGTGCCCGACAGCGGCGTACCTGATTGCGCATTTATTCCATTGCGCAGCCTCCATTTCGGAGCCGAGAGTCAAGCTGCTTCACGGCATATTAGTAGCTTCACGTCCTTGCTATCTCCGTAGAGTTGCCGGCAATAGGCAACTGTCAGCCTCGACGAGAGGTGGGGAAGGACTTCCGTCGGCATTGTAGTATTGTAGTTTGGGATGTCATTCCGCTTGTCGATGTCCTCCTCTTCGAGCAAGGTGCCACGAAACAACAGAGGCACCGCACCGCATTCGAACCCACCTGCTGTACCCCGACTGTGTTCAGACACTCTCGGCAGATTCAGCGGAGGTGGCAACTTCGGCTCGTCGCCCGAGGACCCAAGGCTGCCCTCGTCCCTGTGCGTAGTTCTCGACGCTGCCCCTCGCAGGGGGTTAGAGGAAGCGCAGGAGGCACATTCAGGCGATATGAGTACGATGCAAACGATGTCCCCACACGCGCTCTCAGACACGAGAGATCGAGAGATCGAGGGGGCTCATCTCGCGGCAGTGTCCAAGTCATGCCCCCCAGGACACGGTTTGACTTCGGGGTGCCACATCGGTGTGAAACGCACCCCTCTAGGTCGCTCTACCTCTCTGTGTCCCTCTGTGCTTCCTGTCCCGAGCCGCGGCCAGGCGCCAGGCCATACTTCAGCTCCGCGACAACACGGGTTATGCACAATCGATACATATGAACAGAAAAGCTGGAAGCTGGGTGTCGGATGAGATGAGTCGGATCGGATCGGGGTCATGAATGGGTTACAGTATCAAGGTCATGGTCTAGGCTCTAATGAAGTGCTATTCGAAGAGCCAGCGCTCCTCGCTTCCGTCCTCGCTGTCGTGGGTTTCTTCCTGCTTGGGTGGTTCGCTGCCGCTGGCGCTTGCCCCTCCTCCCTCTCCTTCCTCCGCGTCCTCTCCCTCGTCGTCGTCGTCGTCGTCGTCGTCGTCGTCCTCCTCCTCCTCCTCCTCCTCCTCCTCATACCGCTCCTCGTCCTCCTCACTCGGCTCCCTCGCCCCCATCTCGTGCCAGCTCGGCCACTCGTCCCCCCTCTCGTCCAGCCTGAGCGGGCTCAGCACGTCCTCGAGCATATCGACAGGATGCAGGTCGATCAGGTCCAGACTCTGCGTGCGCAGATCGCGCACGAACGCCCTTGGCGTGTCGTGCACAGGCATCATGCGCGGACTCTTGGGCAGCAGGCGAATACGCGGGCGGGGCGTGAGACTCGTCTTGCTCGTCTTGCGCCGCCGCTCAACCGTGGCCGTGGAGGTGGACCGGGGCACGGAAGGTCGAGTAAGCGAAGGAGGAAGTGCGGACGTGTGGATCGTCACCGGCCGCGTCGCCGCCGTGTGCGTCCTCGCCCTCGGCCGCTGGCGAATGCCATCAAGGGCAGCCTCGGTCTTCTCGAGACTCGCCTCGCGCTCCTCGCGCTCCATCTCCCTCTCCCTGATCCGCCTTTCGCGCTCAGCAAGCCGCTCACGTTCCCTCTCAGCCACCTTTTCGACTGGCTCAACCTCAAGCTGATCGGGGGTCGGAGGCGTTGTCTCGATGCGCGGCGCGGCCTCAATGCTGAACAGATGTCGGAGCCAGTCGTCTATCTCCTCGTACGCGGCCGACGTCTCGGGGTTGAACCAGGGAAAGATCATAAAGTCGTGCACTGCCTCGCGCGTCGCGAGCAGGCGGTCCCGCGTCGTGCGACGCTTGCCCCGCTTCTCGCCGCCCGGGGTCGAGCTGCCGTCTTCCCCGACGGCGCCTGCGGCTGCGGCATCGCCGCTGACGCGGCGATGACTCCTTGCCGCCTTGATGCGCCTGTACAGCTCGCGAATCTCCATCTCGAGCCTCTCCGCGCGCCCATACACGATGAACGTGGGCGGGAAGCCGTGGAACCCATTCTCCCTCCGTTCGGGCAGCATGAGGCCCGCAGGGGCGAGATAGGGTGATTCCCAGGCTGTATACTCGTCCAACCCTCTCAACAACAGCGAGGCCGCAAAGGGCCCAAAGCTGCCGTCAATCGTGTCGAGTTCGGCATTGTGCTGCGCATTCCGCTCGCCCCAGAAGTGCGTGAAGCCTAGATCACTCCAGGGGCTCAGCAGGACCAGGCCCCGTGGGCCGGAGAGGCCGAGCGCGGGGCCTTCGTCCCTCAACCACCTTGCTAGTGCCAGAGACAAGTGGCCGCCCGCGCTGTCGCCGGCGATCACGATGTCGCGCTCCGCCACGCCCTCGGACAGGAGGTGGTGGTAAGCGCTAATCGCGTCGAGGAGGGGCAGAGGCCAGGGGCTCGTCGACGCGAGGCGATACTCCACACTCAGCACATGCCGTATCGGGGTGTGCGCGACAAAGCTCCGCGCGACACTGGACGTGAGGTCGCTCTCGGCCGCCGTGCCGAGGATATAACCCCCGCCGTGGAACATGAGGAGCACGGGCTGGCCGGCATGTCTGCGGCGGGGCTGGGAGTGCGGCGCAATCTTCCGCCCCGTGTACCAGAATGCCTGGACGGGCACGAAGCCCTCGTCTTCTGGCACAGAAGGGGTTGCGCGCGGGTTCCACTTCCCGTATGCGCCGGAGCGGGTTGGCCAGTGTCGGTACACGAAGCGGGGGCGCCAGTTACCCCTGTTCTTGTGGATCTCCTTGAGCATTTCGGCGGGATGGCCGCGCAGCCACGACGCCGGCGCGGGCGGGATGATGATCGGATGTGAGCATTTCAGCTTGTACGGGTGCTGCGCGTCAGTCAATGTCCATGATCATACCACGTTCCATCCGCGCCCCGATACCCCGACACACAAGCACGGACCGAGTACACCGGAAGTCCTGCACGGACTTCGGTCCGGCAACTATCTCCCCGAACTCACTCACCAGCGGAACATCGAGGTTTCGGCCCAGATAGTCAATCTCGCACTTGGCGACGACGGTCGAGATGTGCCTGCTCCAGCGGACGCGCAGGCAGCGCTGGAGCGGCCAAGCGCCGAACGGCCGGTTGCTTCGGGGAAAGTAGTAGAGCGCCCAGACGGGCACCAAGACGAGGAGCGAGAACAAGACAAAACAGAGGAGGTACAGCCGCCGGAACAGCGACGAGCGCCAGAGCGGGTTGCGCGGGGCTTGTTCCAGCTGCGGTGCATGTCAGTATACTGTTGCTCGATCGAGTACCCCGATGCACACAGTCGAACCAGAGATGGGACGGGGGATCGACGGTGACGCCAATGACGTGACTTACCAGCTTCTCCCGCGCCTTCTCGAGCGTCAGCTCGCCCCACTCCGGATCGACGACTTTCGGGCGCGACACCTCCTCGCTGACCGCGGTCTGGTCGATGGCCTGCGGGTCATGCTTGGCGTCGGCGTCGAGGGTCATCTTGACTTTGCCGCCGGAGTGTGCAGTGCCGTTGGGCTTGGGCTGAGCGGTGCCGTTCGTGCGTGCCGGGCCGATTGCTGCACCGTTGCTGGCCCGCCAGTGCCCGTCAGGCATCCTTTTGGAGGTATCGTCAGCCGGAAACTTTGGTCGACGGTCGTCACCGGCTCGGTCGGGCGAGGTGGATGAAAGTCCCACCGTGGACACCAGTGGACCAAAAAGTTACGCCGTGTCGTCGTGTGCAGTAGCGTGCGGAGTAGCACTATCACGGTGACGTGTGGTATGTTGGTTTTTGTCGCCGTGCCCGTTGTGTGGTGCGTGGTCGTAGGAGACCGATGGGCCGTCGCCGTCACGAACGTGGGTGGCACCTGTGGCAGGCCAGGATGAGATGACAGGGGAAACCAAAGTCAACTTTGCTCTTTGCGTTTGTCGGGTCGTCTTATACGCGGGTTTGAGTGTTGCCGGAGCTATGAGCGCGAGGTTAGCTCAGAGGGCCAGCGCGGCCATGCGAGCCCTTAGCTTGAGCTTGACGGTTAGACTGAAGAAGGGACGAAGAGACCGGAGGAGGGACGAGCGACGACAGATTTACTGCTGGTCGCGCGACCATAGCGAGACGCCGACTTTTGGCCTCTGTGACGTAATCGCATCCGTCCTCATACTGGCGATGCACGGTGAATTCTTCTTTTGCTGTTGTCAGTTGCTGCAAGAAGTGTCATGCGCCGACGATGCCTTGCAGAAGAGTCTCGGTAGTTGTCATGCACTCGCCGCGGTGCAAGGTGCCCGCGCCTGCGTCCACAGCTAGTCCATGAGAGGGGAGCGATGTTATAGCGCGAGGCCATGCGAGACCATCGGGATCAGAGCAAGTTGAAACGAAGGACTAAGCACCACCAAGACCGATGTCGGATAGCCGGACTGATTCGCTCGCTCTCTCTTTTTGCTCGCCGCTCACTCGCTGCCAAGTCGCCAGCTGAACGCCTCCCCCCTTCGTCCCATTCAAGGCCCTCTGACGGCCGGTGCGCATTCCCACGTCCATGCGACCATGCGGCTTTTCATTGTGAGCTTACATCTGTGCGCCGGCGGGCGCCAGCTGTCAGCCGGGTGGCCGGGCTCATGTGTCCACGACTAGCTCGCGAACGATGCGATCGACACGGGCCGGAGATCGGTCAGTCGAAAGTAGTCGGGCAATCGGGAATGTCGTGATGTCAAAAGTGTTCAAGCGTTCTCGCCCGCATCGATAAACAGAGGGAGCCATTGAGCGAACCTTAGAACAATGGAAGGGGCCAGATATGCTGCATGCATAAGGGGGAGACTCGGGTCGGTAACCCTTGCCTGGCCCTGGGCGGCCCTTAAGAGCACACAAACAAGACACGCCCAAGACGACGCGTGGGCGTGATTGATAGCAGACGACTGGTCAACATGGAGCCAACGATGAGCACGGCTGTCCAAACGGGGTAGGATGGAGCGTGATGTTGGTGACATGTCACACTGTGCAATCATACAAAGGGATGAGTGCAGTGATGACTGCCAGAACTGGTTACTCAAGGATGAGTTTAGTGGTGGATGGCGTAGGGCGGCCGTGTTTTGAGTTGAATGAGGGCTCTGTTAAGGGACACCCGGCTCCGCGTACGGTGGGACGGGGAACGGCGAGTCGCCACTCAAACAGGCAACAGGCGGCAAGCAAGCGAGCGGCATGGCGGCAGTGTAGCGCGCAGTAGCCCGATCTGACACCTGATCACTCTCCTGATCCATGTCAACAGAACAACACACACCTCTCCTATCTTTCAGCTTTCCCTCGACTCACTCACTCCTCTCATTCCAACAAGCCAGCCAGTCAGCCAGCGCAAGGCGCACACGGCACCCCCCCGCCACTCCGACACCATGGCGTCGACATCACAGCCACAAGACCAGACCCCAACTGCACCTGCACCCGTCCGTCGCGTGTCCGCCCTCGAAGTCGACGATGAGTCCCCTTCCCCCTCTCCTGTAAAGCCCACCGCACAGCGCTCCGCTCTAGGCGTCGGCCTCTCCTCCGGCATCTCTTCTCACCTCGGCACCCCCATCAACAAGATGGCCCAGTCCCGCTTCTCGTCGTACCGGCCATCCATGTCGTCCCTCCGCAGCGGACGCATCGTGTCGCGCCGGGTATCGCGCGCGGTCGACGGCGAGGATGAGGACGGCGTCAAACTGCCCAGTCTCGTCCCCGGCATTCGCGCCGCGTACTCGACCCCGCTCCCAATGCTCCCCATGGTCGTCCTCTGCATTGTACGTTGCGCGTCAACCTTGAGCGCATCGTGATGGACTCGACCCACTGACAACAGGCCATGCTGTCCGAGCTTCTGTCCGCAAACCTGTCTCAGCCTTTCATGCTTAAGATGGTGGAAGGTAAGCTTTACGTGCACTTTCCCAGCTGACCACAGGCTTCTTCCTCGCAGCGGGGAAGCAGAAAAGTAGCGAGATGGAGGCCGCAGTCGGTCTCTGGACTGGTGAGCTCAACCAACGAGATAATGTGAGCGCGCAGTCTGACGTCAGGTAACCTCGTGTCCGTCTTCTACATCACCCAGTTCTTCACCTCGCTGCTGTGGAGCAGCATCGCCGACCGCCATGGTCGCCGTGCGGTCCTTGTCGCGAGCATGACTGTGAGTCGGGTAGTCGAGATATGTGCTGACGCCCCAGGGTAGCGGAATTGGTGAGCTGACCCGGACTTCGGAGACAACTAACATATGTAGCTCTTCTAATGTTCGGAACGTCCAAGTCGGTGAGTTTGTCGAACGCAAGTTGGAACTGACAACAGCTCCCCGAGGCTATCTGCGTTCGTCTCATCCAGGGTATCTTCGGCGGTGCTATCGGAGTGGTGAGTTGAGTTGCGTGACCACGGACGTCAACTGACATCGCAGTTCCGCGGCTCCATTCGTGATATCACCGACGAGACCAATGCTACCCGCGCCTACGCTATCCTTGGCTTCTCCTGGGGCCTGGGAGGAGTCATTGGACCTGTAGGTCTTAGGTGCGCGCTTGACCTGACTCCAGATCATCGGCGGCGTCTTCGAAAATCCCGCTCTGAACCACCCGGACATGATTATTGGCAAGATTGCACTCTTCCAGAAGATGCCTTATCTGCTCCCCACGCTGCTCGGTGGGACCGTCATGTTCATCGGCGCATTCCTCGCATGCTTCCTGTCTTGGGACGGAGGTGTCCGAGGAGGGTCCCGTATCCAGCTGGAGGTGGAGAAGGACGAGCCGCTGAACACGGCCCGCCCTGACACCTTGTCTCCTTCAACCGCTACGCGCCCCTCCGCCGCTCCTGGCTCTTCGGCCATCAGGATCCAGCACCGCAGCTCGATGCACACGCCGGCTGAGGATCCTCAGACACCGTACGGCCGCTCGGCTCTCGGTCGGTCAGCCCTCGCTACATCCGCCGGAATGCACCGCGACAGCATGGCGAGCCTCGGCACTGCGTACGGTTACGGTGGTATCCGTTCCAAGCACCCAACTCTCGCTGCTCGCCGCGCCATTGAGGCTGCTCGCCGTGCGTCTGGTGGATCCGCCCTCGGTGATGACGGTGAGGGCGGCCACGGCAATCGCAACGTCAGCTTCGCTACGAAGCTCATGCTCGCCAACGAGGACAATAATTTCAATATCAACGACCTCTGGCTTTCCGCTGCTGTCGCGCAGGACACTGCTGTCTTTGATGACGATGACGAGTACGATGAGGACTACGAAGACGGCTCCGACGACGAGCACGACGGCGAACGGACGGCTAACCTCATCGACATTGACGACGCCGGCTCGTCTATCGCGGCCGACGACGACGTTACACCCAGCCCGTCTGCTCCCTCGTCGCCTACTCGCGCCAGCATCTCTCACGGGTCCACGCGCCGTTCGAGCCGCCTCCGCATGACCAGCGGTGGCAGCGACTTCTCTCGCTACCTGCGTCGCCCCTCCTCCGCGTCTAGGAGACACAGCGTGTCTTCGCAGCACATTCCCTCGATCTTCTCCAACACTGGTGTCGCATCCACGCCCGGCATCTCGGCGTTCGAGGAGCCGCCCGAGGAGACCAACGAGGACTTATTCTCGCCCACGGGTACTGTCCGCCGTGTTGGTGCTCCCTCAGGCCTTGCTGCCATCAGCGAGGGCCGCCCCGACTCTGTCACGGCCCCCGCGCCCAGCATCAACGAGAAGGAGCCGTCGCGCTGGGCGCAGCTTCCGCTGCTTGTCATTGCACAGTACGGTCTGCTGTCGTGCCACGACTCGACGCACGGTCAGATCTTCCTGTCCTTCATCGTCACGTAAGTTGAGAGGCGGTGATGGCCGGCTAACTTCTCTCAGGCCGTACCAGTCCGGCGGAGTCGGTATCAGCCCGGCGTCGTACTCGCTGCTCGTCGCGCTCATGTGCATCGGCCAGCTCATCTACCAGTTCTACCTGTTCCCGCGCCTCGGCCCTCCCCTCGGCCGCTTCTCGCACCTGCAAATGTTCCGTCTGGGCTCTGCGCTCTTCGTGCCAGGCTACATGCTCGTGCCGCTGCTGCACCTGTTCGCGTCGCCGACCAAGGCGGACAACGGCAGCTTCTTCGTCATGACGATGATGACGCTGATCAGTGCGATCCGTTACTGCGGCGGAACGTTCGCGTACACCTCGATCATGATTCTCATCAACGCGATGAGCCCGCCGCACCTGATTGGTCTCGCAAACGGACTCGCGCAGAGCACAGTCTCGTGTGCGCGGTTCTTCGGCCCCGCGCTCGGCGGCATGATTTGGAGCGCGAGCATCAATGGCAATCCCGGCGGATACCCGAAGGGCTTCTACGCGTGTACCGCGTTTGCGCTGTTCCAGGTCATCGGGTCGTTCTTCATCCGCTAAGCACTCGTCAACTCATCCATCACCACCTACGCCACTAGAGACATCCGGCGTTGTGTCACTACCACCTTCCATGCTTTGCACCACACCCGTGTATAGTCAGTCAGACGTCTTCATGTTCCACCACACCATCCCATATCTCTCATACCTCTCATAGCCCTCATGTGTCTGCTTCAAGCTGCATGCATTCCTAATCCACCTTCTGCTCTACACTCGTCCAGAGGTGATCTGCACAGTCCGGTCGTACCCGACGGACACGACGCTCCAGTCGTCCTCGCCCACGACCTTGAGATCCCTCACGACGTCGGAGGCACGCTCGTCGCGGCCGTGGATCTTGAGCCGCGTACCGGCCCTCCCGTCAAGCGAGGAGAGGACGAGCTCACCCCCAGGCGTGGACGTGACGACGCCGGTCCCGTCGCCCGTCCAAGCGACGCGGGGGAGAACGTACGCGTCGCTCTCAGACCCAGTGAACACGTTGGCAAGACGTTGTGTCTGATGTCAGCTACCACCGTTCTCGCTCAGCTCGCTCAGCTAGGCCTAGGATCCGACTAGGATCCGACTAGAGCTCAAGACTCGTGCTCAAGACTAGAGCTCAAACTCACCTCGTCCAGCTCCGTGCCGTACACGAGCACGCGCTCGCCGCCACTCGCGTGGTCGCCCGTCACACACGCGATCATCCTGCCTGAGGGGTGGAGGGCCATGTCGAGCACGGAGAAGGAGACGTGCGTGTCGCCCGGGTGCGCGTTGAAGCTCTTGCTCCGAATGTCCCAGGGCTTCACTCCCTCGGTTCCGTCCACTCCGTCCATGGCCACGTCCTCACCAGCACTCTGGGTCCCGGCCCCGGTCCCTACCCCGATCACCGACTCGCCACGCTCGCCGCGCTCGCTGCGCTCGCCCGGCAGACGGAGATACTTCATCTCAAACCCGCCCCTCTCTGTCCAGATCATCCACTCAGACTTGGGGTGGAACAGGACAGCTTCCGGGTTCCCCTCCGTCTTCACGGTGTGGCGGAGCACATACCCCAGCCCCGGCTCGCACGCTAGCTCCGGGTCGTCGTCCCGGTCAATGATGGGTACTTCATCGCCTACACCTCCCTCCTCGGCTGCGGCGTGGTACTCATCCGCGCGCACGCCGAGGGACGGGCTGTGCGTGTTCTCGTACACGTTGATGGTGCGGTCGTAGCTTGCTGTGGACAGCCAGCGGCCGTCGGGGGAGAAACAGACGCGCACGACGAATTTCGTTTGCTGGAAGGTCTGTACCGGCGTGGACGTGACTAGGTCCGTGATGACGGTGGACCCGTCCATGGCCCCCGAGACGAGGTAGCGTCTATGCGTTGGGTGGAGCGCTAGGCTGATCGCGGGCGAGGCGTGCGGGTGCAGTAGGTGTTTCTCCTGCTGGTCAGCTTTCACGCGGCTCTTGAAGCTGTCTTCCTCCTGACGCTGACGGGCGACTCACCTCTCCGCTCTCATAGTCGAGGACGCGCACGCCCTTATCGGCACTGCTGACGACTACACCCGCCCTCCATCGCGCCCTATACTCCGCAGACGCCGTATCGAATTCTCGTTCCGGGATCAGTCCCGTCGCAAGAGCCAGCAGGTTGCCCGTCGTTAACACTGGGATCTCCCGGGCCGGCTTCAGCCCATCGCCCTCACGTAGCGGTACCTGGGCGAGTTTCTCGAGCGGTGCATTCCATCCCTCCCCGTCCTGCGTAATAGAGGATGAGCCAAGCTGGCGCGCGAGCTCGTAGGACTGTCCATCCGAGACTAGTGTTTGGAGGTCGGGCACTGGTGGGTTGGAGAGGTCGGGTGCGGGCGTGTTCGTCGAGGAGAGGAAAGAGGGGAGTGCGGCGGGATAGTTTGTCGCTAAGTAGTGCGCTATCAGCGCGTGGAGGGACGATGTCGTCGGCATCGTCGTGGCTGCCCGAGAGACGGAGTTGGTTGAGGAAGGTCGGAAGTCGAGACGCCGTCGCGATGTCTGACGTCAATTAACCGAGATATCGCGGTGGCAAATACCTCCACCCGCCGATCGCCGAGTGGCAGTCACGGCCTATCTGACGGCCATAACATCGCAGGACTCGGCTTGCGCTGACGCTAGAGCGCGGTGATAGGTTGAACAATACGCCCAACAGGATACACATTACAAGTAAAGGGCTACTGTACATGCTTCGCTTGTAGACTACGTCTTCATGACGGTATTGCGCTGTTGAACAATGACCGGGGCAGCAGCAACAATGACATGAAAAGCCTGACATAGAGCACCGCTCCCAATGAAACGCGCTGTTGTCCGCTGCTGCTGTGCACACACTTACTCAGGAAAGGCATTCATATCAGCAAGCAACACCTTGACCAGTGTGCTCAGCGGAAGTGCTGTCCTCCGACAATATGTTCACTCACTACACCTGTGTCCTTCCTAGGGGGACACACACTCGTCATTGATATGCACACAGCAGAACAAGCAGAGCAGCCTGTTTGCAAGATACTTAAGGAGGTTAGCAGACCCAAGCAGCCTCTTCTTCTCAGCAACACCAACAACACCAACAGTATGGCCAAACCACGCCGCTCCCAGCGTCTAAGCCGCCGCCGCGGCTCCCCAAGCTACTCCTCCCCCGAGCCGCCCCGCGTGAAAGCCCGCACCGCCAAGGCAGAGCGAGAAGCAACACGCCTCAAGAACGGTGGAAAGCCAAAGCGGTACTTCTTCACGTCTCCCGAGGACGACGAGGGGCGGGACATGCGGCGCAAACGGAAGCGCACCGAGAATAACGACACGGACAGTGGCTGTGAGGCATCCGGGAGCGCGCCCGAGAGCACACCCGAGCGCACGCCCAAGGTCGCCCGTACGGGGCAGCGATACACGCCCGCCCCGCATGGCGCCTTCATGAACTTCGAGTACGACCCCCCCAGCACGCCTGTGCCGCAGAGGGTTACCTCGGGGAGCGAGGCAAGTGAAGAACTCCTCCTGACCTCTGGCGGCACAGGTGCCCAAACCGAGAGCCAGGGCGAGGAAGTTGAAGCCGAGTCCGCTGCGTCGCCCGTGGTCACGCCGGCCCGGCAGATTGCTCGGTCGACGACCCCCACCCGGGTTCGTGCCCGGCGTAGCGGCGCCCCGCCCCCCTTCACAACTCCAACGGTCCGGTTCCAGGCTCCCAGCGACGACACTCCCAGCACCGACAGGTCGGACGATGGGAGCGCGGCCGACGATGAGGACTTTTGGAATGCGTCACTCGAACGCGGCCTGACCGTTCGGGGTCTCCGGGACGTCTGCCAGCGCTTGAGGGACCGGAGCATCCGGAACGAGCTCAGCTTCGTCGTGGCCGTACTGGAGGACCGGGTTGAGTCCGACGACGAGCTCCCTTCTCCGTTCGAGGATCTCGTCGGATTCTACCAGCGACGAGACTTCGTTGCTGCCGGCTTCGGATGGAGCAACGATGCCGGCGTAGCCGTGCCCACTACTTATGCTGACCCCGAGTCTGTCGAGACACGGGACGAGGGCCCTGCGACGGCCTCGGCTTCCGACGACATCAACTTGTGGGAGGCATATTGCGACGGACTGGGTCGCCCGACAGAGGCCGACATGGCGCGCGTGCCTTCCCGGCCTCGAGGGATGTGGACGCTCCTGGACAGCCTGTTCTCCACTGTAACCCCTGCCATGACAGAGAGCGTGAGTCAGACACTTGTCGATATACTAACGACCAGCACGGCCTCGAGTTCGGCATGACGCTCGCAGCACTCCACGGTATCTACTTTCCCAACCGGGCCGATCCACCGCCGGTGTGGCGCGACTTCACCCCCGTGCACCCGCTCTGATACGTATAGACATGCATGAGAATCTAGAGAGTACAATGAAGGTCGCATCTATGTATATTGCGCAGAGACTGTGGGGGTGTCTAGACCATTCAACCGGAGAAAGCAAGCTTCTCGTCGCCCTTGAAGCGAGGGAAGAATGATTTGCTCGAGAAGAAGTCCTTCGACTTCATGCCCATGATGAAGCCGGGCATGGGGATCTCGAAGCCATACAGGGGGATGACGCCTGCTCCGCCCTGTGTGCCGAGCGGGACGCAGATGGCGGTCTGGGGCGAGGTCTTGTAGGCCGTCGGCGCCTGGCCATGGACCTCAGCCAGGATGTTCTTGGCAAGCGCGGGCGCCTGGTTTCCGACGCACACGACCGTCTTCCAGTCGGCGTTGGCACAGACGTCGCCGAGCGCATAGTACTCGCCGCTCATGGGCGAGTCGTCGCTGGACGCCTGGACGCGGAAAAACTCGTCAATGAGGATACGCGACTGCACCTCGGACAGGGCGCCAGGGTCGGCCGCCTTGACGATCTGCGAGTTGGCGCGGTTACCGATCGAGACGAAGACGCAGTCGGCCTCGATCTCCTTGCCGCTCTTCGTCTTGAAGGTCGTCATCTTGTCGAGCAGGCCAGACTTGGTGCCCTCGGGCAGGTCGACGAGCTCGCCGAGCATGACCTCCACATTGCGCGTGGCCAGCTGCTTCTCGAGCGACACAGAGAGCTTGCCGTACGTCGGCGCCTGGTAGAACTCGTCTCCGGGCTTGGAGCGGGGCGTCGGGCCGAGCAGACCGGCGGGGTCGTCGTGCACTAGCGTGATCGGCTTACCGGGGTACTCCGTCGTGAGCTCGCCCGTGACCTCGACGCCGACAGTACCGCCGCCGATGATCAGGATCTTCTGCGCTTTCTTGAACGCATCCTGCATCTTGCGCAGGTGCGCCTTGAAGTCTTCGATGCTGCTGCCGGGCTCGGCACCGATTGGCGGGGGTTGCTGGGCACCCGTGGCGATGACGCACTTCTGATATTGTCAGCAGATCTCAGCGGCCAGAAACATACCTCGAAGGGGAGCTCAGTGGAGCCCTCGAACGGCTTCTCAAGAACCACAGAGTTCTTCTTCAGCTCCACAACCGAGTTGGGGCAAAGAACCTGGTGACGCGAGCCGGCAGGGAAGAATCGCTCCTGCTTCACCTCGACCTGGAAGTTCTTGTCCTCCCAGCCGGGGACGACGATCTGGCGCACAGTTCCGGGCGACCAGACGACATACGTGTTGCGCTCGACGAGGATGACGCGGTAGTTCTCAGGCAGGTTGTTCGCAATACCGTTGGCGACACTGTGGCCAGCAGCCGAGGCTGGGAGTCAGGAAAGTGTTTACAAGTCTTCACAGCACCCAAGCTCACCTCCAATGATGACAATGTTCTTGACGTCCGACATGGTGCTCAGCTGGCTTTTTGCAGAGGTGTGGAGTTTGTGGTGAAGAGAACGAAGCGAAGAAGAGAGTTGCAGCGCAAAGTGAAGCGCTGATAATATCTCTGCGGTAATCTCCCAGGCACAGCTCCACAACCGGCTGAAATTGTGGGTGGCCGTCGGGCAAGGGATCAAGACACCGACGTTGTCTGCCAAGGCTGATTGCAAGCTTCTCGTTGGCCACGGTACATCCGTTTGCACGTCCGATGGCGCATATGGCGCTGATGGCGTCGGAAGTGTCAAGCGCAGCGCGTAATCAGCAGCATCGGGGACGCGTCTGAGCCCTCGCCGAGGTCCATCTCTTTGTAAGACATGTAAGCACGCCGAATATCAGTCACCGATGCCTCCGTAATCTGCAATCACACCAGTCGATTGCACGTGTGGAGCCATTCCACGATCAGAATGCAGAGCGAAAAGCGTAAAAGTCGCCGATCACAAGAGCATACTCGCCATGAAATGGGATATGCGCAACGCCGTGACATGCATGGCGGAGCTCAGCGGGGCACCCGCCGTCACGCAGAGTTCTTTTCCTTCTCGGCCCAACTGTGAAGTGTGATGCGATAACTGGAGCGTTAACTCTAGTCCTCTAGTCCGGATCCGGGGACCCGGGGGCACAGTCAGCTGTGTGATCAGCTTATCGCGAGTCTAGGATATCGCGACGCCACCATATCGCGCGTCTGACTGATCAGTGGGAGGGGGGCATCCGTGCTGCCTAGCTTCCGTCGGGACTTGACAGGCCACCTTACATATATCTGTGACTTTTGTCGCGTATAAGCTCGCTCGATGGGTGAGAGCACATGGGCAGACCGGCGGGCATGAACAAGCGACACACCCCTCGGCCCATTTCTTGCTCATCGAGCGCGTTTGCATTCCGACACCCACCCCAATGCGATTGGTACTGGAGCGCGGATGTGCAGTACTGGGTGGCGGCTGTCTCACGCGGACGTGCGCACACGTACTGCGCTCCCACTATGCGGCAGGCGGAAGTTTGGCGGGTCAGCAATGGTTTCCCTTACAAATGATATTGAGGGTATGCCGGCCCGTAGATACACGCAGTCCAAGATCTGCTCAGTCATCCGGTACGGATCCTCGGTTATCGGGCGAGGTTTGTCGGGCGAGCAGCTCGGTGCTGGTGACGTGCTCGCGGGGACGCCGGGAAGGCCAGTGATCACGATCACGCGTCCGCCCCGCGCGACCCCGTTCGAGCCACCCAGGCGCCCCGCGGACCCGTGATTCAGTGACGCGGTGGCGATATCATAATCGCAGCCTTCCGAAACGTAAGAAGCATAACTATAAGTTCAGAGCAGCAGGGGCGAGATGCACGAGATGCATGCACTATGCGATGCAGCGGTAAACTTTGCTGGCGCTAGCGCAAGGGGTGAAGGTGCGGCAGGGCGATGGGCTCGAACGCAGTAGCGTGGCGCGGGGGTGCGGCGGCACGGGTTCGACGCTCCGAGCTCCGCGGCCCCGTGCACGCCGCACACCGTGGCACTGGGCTAGTCAGACAACGGCATCGTGGCGCCGCACAGTCACGTTGAAGTGCTAAGTGCCGATCCGCGAGGGCGCCGAGAGGGTCCGAGGGCCAGAAGGAGCGGAACGGAGCGGGGTTGCAGAAATGGGGTGCACCGCGAACATGGGTGTGGACGGACCGCAGGCTGCATTGAAGCCGTACCCAGAGTTTGGTGCATGTCGACTGCATGTCGGCCCAGCACTGCTCCGGACGGAGCGGCCCCGCAGCCTCCCGAGCATCCGAAGACGCATCCGACGACGCCACTGCGCCACTTGGCCAGCTCCGCTGGCTAAACTGGCCCCGCTGGCCGCTGCAGTGCAGACGGGAAGCACCGCATGACTGCATGCTTTGAGATGTAAACAAACCATCGCATCACATAATATGCGCCGACGCGCAGACGCTGGGATCTTCCAGGTGTGCACTGTGAATGTATTACGTTTCGGTACCGCGGATAGCAGCGACCCAGGAGGGTTCCAGGAGGGGCAGATTACAGCATCGCGCGACGAAAGTGGGTCTCGGTTCCTTGACGGAACCCCTCTGCTGAGTGCAGGCGCGGTCATGCACGCCGGCGGACACGCGGACACGGTCATGGCTAGCGTCCCAATGTTCCCCACACGGAGCGGTGCTTGCCCCAGACCTCCAAAAGTACGAAAGTCTGGCCCGGGTCATGTGTGGCTGCAGCGCTGCAGGCTGTTCTCTCACGCCACCAACGACGGATCGAGTATTGGGGAAGAAGCGCGCACTGGCGCACTACTGGGCACAATTCAACGTGTGGTACGAGTGACATACCGCCTGCCCCAAAACAACAATCATCGCACGACGCGCTCCACTACGCTGGGAACGTAGGTACATCGCGACGAACTTGTTCGGCTTGGACAATTCGGAGCATGCTGCGGCGCCGTGCTGGAACTCACAGGACTCACATGGTGCACTCCATGGTGCACTCAGCCCAGTGCCTGCGCCTGCGCCGAAGCGATGCCCCCCTCTCCGTGCATACCGTGCCAGCGTCCGAGACATTGAAGCGTGCCCAAGGATCCAATTTCTCGCACGCAAAAGGCATACGGCAGCAAGCCAGCAAGTTACCACGACCCCGAGGACGCGAGGACGCGAGGACGCGGCGGGGAGGTCCCGCCATTTCATGGCTCCCCGTGCTCCGATGCAGATCTATATGACCAAAGCAGGGCGAGCAGGGCGAAGTCAGGTCCGTCCCCTCTCCTGCTCTTTCGGGCGCAATGGGGGAGGGGGAGTCGTCAGTCTTGGCCACTGGTGGGCAGTTGGTTCTTTTCGTTCTGGCACTGTCCGGCGGCCACCCGAGTCTTGCCCCAGGACTGACAGAAACGACTCGACATGACCGCAGTTAGCTTTCGGAACATGGCGAGTCTGGGGGATGCATCGTGCACAAGTTTGCGCAGAATTGAGCCAAAAGCAAGACTACTGTAGCAAGACTGGGCGACGAGACACAAGGGGACGCCAGGGGTGGATGTGTCGCCTGTCTTCGTGTCAGACCCGTTTCAACGCATTCATGTATTCAGCACGGACTGCTATTCACATGGTCTGGCCATTGCCATGTCCGCCGCGACTGACGCCTTTACGCAACGCCATTCAGCATTCATGCCAGTCATGTTCCGGCATGCTGGCCCGTGGAATAGGCGTCGCATTCATGTCGCCATGTCGAATGCAGCTGTGCTGCGCAGAGCGCGCCACTGACGATGGCGAAGCAGCAAAGTCGGGTATGTCACCTGCCTCCATGTTGTGGGATTGTTGATGTCTCGTCTCCATGCCAGAATCGGATTCGATGGGCCCTAACTTCCCAGAGCACACGAGAAAGTCAGTCGCGCCTGCGAGTGAGTCAGGTGGGCGCCCCCCCTCACGTAAGTGCGGATTGTGCACTGGGCCCGGCGGGGCGTGGCTGGTCCAGCGTGTTTGAGGATTCCCACACTACTCTGCTCAGAATGGTCGCAGGTGCACACTATCGCACTACCGCGGTGCAAACGGTGCTACGGTGGCAACGGTTTGGAATGCTGGCAGTCGAGCATTTCATTGTGAAACGAGCCTTGGCTGAAAGGGATGGGTAATTCTCTTGTGGAACTCGGGGAGTCACCTTTCATTTCTGTCAAGGCTTGGCCAGATCCGGCCCACTACTCGCGCACCTGGACATAATGGATGATGTGATGACCCGGGTACTGGGCTCCTGGCCAACTGGGCGCCGCGATCCGCTGCGCTTAGTATGTCACCAGCTGCATCGGCCCATGCGTCATGGATGAAATGGACTGGGGATAGTCGCCATCGTCAGCCGGTGCAGGTGCGGCATGGGGACGCTCCGCACTACAGTAGCCTCGGCGCTCAAGCTTCATGTCGATGGACGAAGTGGTGGGGACCAGAGGGACCAGAGGGACCAGAGTATGGGAAAATTCACCCGAAGCGCTCGAGGTCCGGACGATCGAACGATATCTGGATGATCACGGAGCACATGGCTGGAACGGCGCCATGGCTTGGGGTTGAGGGGTGTGAGGGCCCAGAGGCGTGCTCTAGTCTTGCCTTTGGTGGCGCAAGTGGGGTTTTGTAATGGGGAACTGTATTGTATGAGAGGACGCTGGCGCATATTGGTGCACACTGGCGCAACGCTGGCGCACTTGCATGGCGCACGCTAAGCAAATCGCACCAAATTTCGAGGTTCAAGCCGAGGTTTCACTCTCGTGGTCGGGGTAGGCCGGGTACGGCGGCGCACCCGTGATCAATTCAGTCAACGTAGGCGAGGTATGTGTCGAAATCTGCGAAACCTTCGCACCTCTTCACTCTGCGGGGCCGGTACATTAGGGACATTAGGGTCGGGTGCAAGCCATGTGCACGCCATGGGGGACGCCGCTGCATCGGTGGCTCAAGTTTCAGTGACGCGCAGTCTACGATCGAAGACTGATGATCAGCTGCATATGCGATGTGGTTGGTTTGTACGAACAAGTGTTTGCAGTCCGCAGCCAGATGGAGTGGCCAAGCAAAAGTGCACTCTGCTGGTGTTAGGGGGGGTACATCCGCGCCACCACCCTGCCAGGACGCCTTTCAAGGGTTTGGGGATCAGCACGGAAAAACAGGAGTGCGTACGCCTGCGCGCACTCAGTGAGCTCCGTGAGCTGCAGTGCTGGCTGGCCAGGCTGCGAGCGCATGGTTCAGGGAGATATTCCCAACCCCAGGCCGAACTACTGCAGCAGCTGTCGAGATGGAGGCAATGTAGGCCAGCGCACTCGTGGCACACGTTCGACCATTCGGGTTCCTCGGCCTGTGGTCTTGGGGGACATATCGATGTCATCGGCCCATGACTGGAATTGAAAGAATTCAGTGACCACGACAGGCCACGAGCGCAGCTTCACAGCTCGGTGGGCCTGTGGGCTGTCGCCCAGCGTACCTGGCAGAATCGGCAGAAACCATCCCGCATGCGCCGCGGCACCGGCCGGCGCAACACCGACGACGCCCTCAGAAGGAAGCGGAGGAAGGAGCGGAACAGAAAACCTATCCTGATATCTCTTTCCAAATCCGTTCCGAGAGAAATACAAATCAATCTCAGAATGGAATCAGGGAGAGGAGGGTTTTGCGTTGAAATCCAGCTGGGATCCTGGTCTCCTGCTCCACACCGAGCAATGGTGAGGGTCCGCCGAACCCAGAGCACGCAAGGTACGCAGCAGACCTTTTCAGCGACCCATCCAGAATCCAATTCCGTTTCTTTTTCATGGCAGGAGGGGAAGATGAGGCACGGCAAGTTCAATCCCTAGCTCCGAGGGGGGAGGGATGAGGGCTCGACGGACGTTTTCATTGTGGCATTTGGGAAAGCTGGTGTCGGCATGCCGTGGTCTGAATGCACGGATGTGTACCCGTCCTTACACGCGGGTTAGGTGTCAACACACAATGATATCTCGTTATGTGTTACATACGCAAGTACGTTGCCACGAACCGAGGGGGGCCGAATGGATGTGTTGAACTTCAGGATGTAATTATTCAAATATTCCGACACGTGGTGGAATGCAAAGTCGTAGAATACAAATCCAGCTGCTCCAGGAGAGCTACGTTCAGGTCCGCTTGCAGACGCAACCCGCCAGGCCCCGAAGGAACGGAGGTGCGGGGGGGTACGGAGGTGTCGAGCGGACCCTTCAAAGTTGTAGCCTGTGGAACCGATGGACCCATGCTTAGCCACGCTGATGCCGAGCTTGTGCGTGTTCTGGCCGCACGCAGAGAAGGGAGCAGAAGGGTCCGCCCAAACCTAACAAACTCCAGGTAAGCTTCAAGGTAGGCTCCGGGTACTCGGCGTGGAAACTCGTGGCACTGGCATGGACGCTTGGAGGCACGCCTTGGTAGCTGGCACGGCGGCACGGCCGTGAGTGCCTCGACTCCCGTTCCTGCCAGTTCCTGTGAGTACCTGGTAGCATGGCAGGAGGGTCAGGAGCATGTGCGATGCGCATCAGACACGACGGACGACACAACAACGAAATGTGATGAGATGCGACGTGCGGGCTGCGTCGTGGCGCGCCGTCAGCCAGTCAGACAGTCAGTCGGCAGATTGCAGGTGCGGCGATAGAGTCGTGCCGTGCCACAGACACGACCTACACGACCTCAAACACATCTCTCTTCGGTGGTGTCACCGGGACCCGCGCGCGTTTCGTGTCGGTACGGCTGCTCAGTCTACCGGGTGCGGTTCGGGGAGCACCTGGCATGAGAGGATTGCTGTAGATCGGTCAGGCAGTCAGTCGGGCAGTCGTAGCCGGCGGCGAGTGGCGAGGGATTGTGTGCGGAGACAGGAGACAGGGGAGCCTTGGCCCCCTCGGTGGGACGGAGAAAAAAAGGTAGTGTCCTGATTGATGAGTGAGAGAGATGTCTGGTGGGTAGAGGAGGAGGATTACAACGCTGTGTCGGACTGGGTGGGTGATAATGCTTGACGACGACTAATGGGATAATTAGCTTGGTGGGTGGTGAATTGGGAGATATTAATGATGGACGGGTACGTCGGACCCTTAAGACAAGCTCACGTAAACGCCCCCCTTGTTGGCCGTTTTCGCCTCGTGGCCGCGGCGGGTTCCCTGGGGGTGGACCCTGTGCATCCCTCTGGGTGTCCCTTTGCGCCCTGGACGCCTCGAGGCCCTCGTGCGCCCTTGGTGCTGGGGTTGGATGCCCCCCCCCCTTTGCCCTTTGCTCCCTGCCCCGCGGCTGCCCCTCGTCGGTTCCCTGGTTGTCGAGCGCTGGGCGTCTAGAGCGACTTTCGTGTCCTGCCTGGCCCTTCTGGCGGTTCTCTTCACCCTCCCTGCCCCCTGTGCGCCTTCAGACATGGCCGGTCCTAGCAAGCGACTGCAATCCTGATCCACCACCGGTTCAGTCCACCCATCCCAGCCAGTCCAGCCCAGCCCAGCCAGCCCAGCCAGCCCAGCCCAGCGTACGCACCGCGCTCCTTCACTTCGCTCTTCCTCTACCTTCGTCTCTGCATTGTGCATAACTCCCAGTCCCCATCTAGACACACCACACCCCCAAGGCGACACCGGCATCCCTCTCCCCGTCCTCGTCGACATCGACATCGACGACAGTCGTCTCCCTCATCTGACAGACCCGGTCACGACAGCCCGTAACAGCCCACCGCCTGGCCGCGACATTGTCCCCCCTCTTCCCCCCCCTTTCCTCCTCCCACCCTCAATCTTCCTCCGCCGCATTCTCACTCAGATTGACCCTCGCACACGGTCGACTTTTCTCTCGCCTGCGAATCTGGCGATCTGCGACAAACTGCGCTTCCCGGAAACTTGTGACATTTACGCACTCGCGAGCTGGACGCATTTCAAGGCATAACGCTCTGGGTGAGTATTCGAATTCCTTGCCTTCCCTCCGGACGAAACGCGGTGCGGCTTGCGGCGCGGGTGGAACCCCCGGAAGCAGCCAGATCCGGTCATGCGAGACAATGAGAGGCGTCTTCCCCAGCACCTTTCTGCGCCTCTGCATCGCGCCTGCCGAACTGTGTTCCCTATTGTTCCCCGTGACTTGGTTGTGCACGCGTGAACGCCTTCGAAATGCGAGGAAGACAATCTTGCACGGCCGCTGTGTGAGAGGTAGCGCTTTTGCAGCGCCTGCTGTCCACCGCTTCACCCCGTCTTTGTCAGGCGTACAAACGGTGTCTTCCTTCAGCCCCGTCGTTGTCTCAGGGCGCCCTTGCTCCGTTTGACAATCGACGGTCCGGTGTGCCCCGCTCAGCCAAGCCGCCGCGCCCCGCACCCTATTACAGTCGCCGAGTTGCGCCTCCGTCTAGGGTGAACAGGCGGTCGGTGCTGTCGCGCTTCTCGATATAATCGCACCGGGTGTCAGCACGTATCGGGACAAGACCAGCTGCCGCCGGCAGGACATGCTTCCCATCACTGTCTGTTTTCCTTCGTCGCTCGTCACTTGTCTGTGCACGTACTCGCGTTTCCATTCTGGATTCCGTGTCTCGTAACAGATGCTAACGCCTTTCTGCAGATCACAGCCCGTGCACTTCGATCACGTCCAGTTTGAAAGTGACTGAAGGTTGCGAGGTGAGTCGTTCCTCCCCGCATCGACGACCCGTCTGACAGCAAGAGGAAGTCCAACCTTATCTGCCGGCAGCAGTGTTTATCCCCCGCCCTACCTTCCCTCGACACCCTCTAAAGAGTCCATGAACGCTTGCTCGACGGCCGAGTACTGTGACCTTCCCTCCCATGCTTGCCGCGAGCACCCAACCGCAGCCCCCGCATCTATTGGTGACACCATCGTCTACAACGGATAGTCGGGAGCAGCAGCAAATGTCTACCAACACCGCGGACGCCGGTGTGCGTCCGCCACCGATCCCGCCGCGGCGCATGAAGTCGCTCTGGCGCAAGCCCTCCAAGTTGATGAACGACGACCAGCCGGTGGCCTCGTCCTCGACCTCCGACCTCCCCCTTCCCAACGTGAAAGCCGCCTCCTCATCGAATCTTCTCTCCGCCTTCTCCTCTTCCAACGTTGACCTTCCGCAAACCTCGACCCTCGTAAACCCCTCGGCGACGTCTTCAGCGGCCTCGACGCAGAGCGCCAGGTCGAAGCTGAAGAACTTCATCACCGAGCCGGCATCGCAGGCCGTCCGAGCGCTTGGTGGAGGACCGGGGAAGCGATCATCGGTCCCGCAACCGACGCGGTCGATTCCCAACCTCCGCGAGCAGCATGACCAACACAAGAACTATGCTGCGCGTGCGAACACCATTGCTCGCTCAAGCACGACCAATGTGTCAGCCACCCCCTCGAAAGTCCCTCGGTCCTCGATTCCCGTGCGGACATCCTCCATCACGACCCCCACTGCCCCCCTTCCGCCCACCGTGTCCACCCCGTCTCCGTCACCACCGCGAAAGACTGATCTCGGGCGTTCACTGCTGAAAGCGTCGCGCTCCACACCGTCCTTACCTCGGAGAGCTAAGAAGGGCAAGGGCAAGGATCTGCTTGACGATGATGATGAGGATGAGAAACCGGCGACAGTGGGCAAGAAGAAGAAGGGTGGGCGTCATTCACTGGCCATGCTTTTCCACAAAAATCGGTCAACAAGTGCCGTGTCCCCCCACTCGTCTGAAACACCGTCGCCTTCTGACATCGACCTCACGTCACCCGAGGATGAACTGAAGCCTATTGAAAAGCTGCCACCATCAATTCTGTCTCAGCCCAAGCGGTCAACATTGTCGCCCCCTATCACGCCCACATCTTCCTATTTCCTGAATAACAGCCGACCCTCGAGTGGATCCAACAGCGCAGCCGGCTCGGTCGGTCTCCCAGATCTGAGCCCGGCAACTACAAGAGGTTTGTCGCGTCCCTCCTCTTCTTCGCTGTCGCGTCCGCCATCACAGTCAGCATTGCGTGGATCAAACGGCGAGCCTTCCTCGCTTCGTGGGTCTGCTCAGACACTGCAGAATACCGTATACAGGCATAACCCGAGCGCGTCATCGCTATCGCCCGCGGGATACAGCCTTTCGTCATCCAGCTTCCAGCACTCGCGCTCCAGTCTGATCAACGGTTCACACACGAGTCTCAGTCTCTCCCAGACCAGCCTTATCCTTCCAGACGGACCTCGCCACTCGCTCTTGTCACAAGAACATTACCACCTCCGGTTCGCGTGCACATATATCACCTACCTCCTCACTCCTGCATTGCGGCACGCCAACTTTTCGACGTCGGAGCGTAACCTCGAGATTAAGCGCATCTCGGAAGACCGATTGGGCCATTTGGCGCGCATGGAACGTTCCTGGGGAAGCTCCTGGGCTGAAGCTTCAGGTGAAATCCTCAGTGGCAAGCAATCCGGGGTCTCGCTCGAAGTCAAGGAGGCGAAGCTGCGGGCTTGCAACATCACCGCGACCGCAAAGGCTCACGAGCGCAAAGTGTTTGTTAGCGCCGTTCGTGACGGCATCCTGCTGTGTTTCCTTTTCAACCGGCTCTTCCCGTCGCAGCCCGCTCACATTCAACGCGTCAAGGTGCCCCGTGACGAAGCTCGAATCCGCGCCAACATTGACCGCTTTCTTTCCGCTTGCAGCGAGATCGGGGTATCTGAGAACGACAGTTTCACGATGGCAGACTTGGACGAGCATTCCCCAGCTGGTCTGGCCAGGGTGGCGAGGACAATTCTGGTGCTTGCTCGCATGTCTGGTTCGGCCGTGGTTTTGCCTGCGAAGAAGTCGAAGCGGAACCTCCGGGGTGAAGGTTCGGTCAACAAGTCGTCAATCCCGAAGGATCGCAGCCGACCACACTCGGAGCAAACGCCGGCGCCCTCGAACAACGCGACGCCCATGGCATCCAGGACCGCCCTCGAGCGGACACTCAAGAACAGTTCCAGTGATTTGCGACTTCGACGGGAAGGGGTGGCAACCAATGGCGTTCTTCCCACACCCGCGGCAATGAACGGATCCACAATGTCACTTACGGCTTCCACCGAGAGCGATCACGCGTCCGCCGCCTCAGGATCCAACTTAAAGTCTGTTTACGCTCCACCTTCGCGGTTGTCACAACAGTCCTTCTCACCCACCCCTCCGCTGTCACCTGCGCGTGCCGCGTCCACGCCGAACGCATCTTCTCGATCCAACGCCGCCATCCAGAATGGCACACCGCCGACTGCGCGTCCTCCCATGCGCACGATACACAACTCCAAGGTGTCATTCGCCAATGATTCCAGCTCTCCGCGAGCGTCTGGACACGACTGGAGCAGCAGCATCTCGTCCACCCAGTCGTCGTACCACCTCGCGCCGCTGCAGGAGCGCGAGCGGACCCCGAGCCTCATCAGCACCAACTCTCAGGTCGCATCGTCCTACTCCCGGTCAAGCATGATGGCAATCCCCATCGTCCCGGGCGAGGATCAGCGTGCCATCGACGCGACGGACGTCGAACCCATCGACATCCCTCTCGGATCGTCGCCCTCGGTCCGGCCGGAGCTGCCTCCGAACGTCCGCCGCATGAGCGAACAGACGCTGCAGGAGGCGAGGCGCAAGATTATCGGTACGCTGCTCACGAGCACGGATGACTTGCATGCCCAGCATGGCATGACGCCGAACGGTCGACTGTCATCGTCTCTGGAGGAGGCCCGGGGATTCGCCCTGTCTGCTTCCCTCGCGGCTCTGGAAGGTTCCGGCATTGGCGGCCCGACCACGCTCAGTCTGCGGTCGGACAGCCCTCGTCTTCGACCCATTTCTCGAGCTGCACGCACGCAAAGCATCGAGTTGCAGCACGACAGCTTCATCGAGGAAGACGAGGTTGGATCACGCAGTCCCGCGCGCGCCCCCGGCGAATTGCCACCGAGACCTCGAATTCGTCGTTCGAGTGTCACCGGCAAGATCTATGTGCCCAAACGTGCGCCCTCGCCGGGTGTGGGCATGCAGTCGACTCTGTCGTCGTCATCCATCCCGATCCCCATCGATCCAAACCTTGCCGCTGAGGCGTACGGTACCCGACGCGCGTTGACCAAACAAGAGCGCCGCCGGTCTGAGGACTTCCCCCTGAGACCCATGTCTATCAGCAACGCCAACCGAGTCATGAACATGCGCAACAATCACTCCATGGTTAATCTGCCTAGCACGACCCGGCGGACATCGACCCTGAGCTTCACTTCGCGTGACTCTGCGGTATACCCGAGTCTCCAGATTCTGGAGTTTAGCATGGCTGGCCAGCCGGCGATGCGTTACCAATTGGGTAATCGCATAGGCACTGGTCAATTCGGTGCTGTGTACCGCTCGCTCAACCTGACCAACGGTCAGATGGTCGCCATCAAACGGATCCGTGTGGCTGGCATGCAGCAGAAGGAGATCGACGACGTCATGCGCGAGGTCGAACTCTTGGCCCGGCTGTCGCACCCTGGCATTGTCAAGTACGAGGGCATGTCTTGCGACAACGAGTTCCTGAACATTGTTTTGGAATTCGTCGAGAACGGTTCCCTGCAACACACCCTGAAGGCGTTCGGCAACTTCAACGAGCGGCTTGTTGCTTCGTATGTCGCCAAGATCCTTGAGGGTCTCATCTACCTGCACTCGCAGGGCGTCGTTCACTGTGACCTGAAGGCTGCCAACATCCTGTCGACAAAGAATGGTAATATCAAACTGTCCGACTTTGGTGTCTCGCTCAACATGCGCGCCGTGGAGACTTTCGCGGAGCGCGCAAGCATTGGCAAGGCTGAGAGCAGCGAGGTCGCCGGCACCCCCAACTGGATGGCACCAGAAATCATCAAGCTCGCTGGAGCCTCGCCTGCTTCGGACATCTGGTCGCTGGGCTGCACTATCATTGAGCTGTTGACGGGTAAGCCTCCCTACCACAATGTCGGCAACAGCATGACCGTTCTGTTCCGCATCGTCGAGGACCCGATGCCTCCTCTCCCGCCGACGTCGCCCGAACTCGAGGACTTCCTCAAACTCTGCTTCATCAAGGAGCCTGGAGACCGCCCGTCCGCGACGCTCTTGTTTGAGCACGAGTGGGTCCGCGCCGCCCGTGGCGACATCGACCTCAGCCCGCAGGACAGCCTGCCCTTCCTCCGCCGTGTCAGCCAGGATCAGCGCACCGATTCGCAGCGCATCTTTGCCAATCCGATCGACATTCCCAAGGTGTCCGACTCTGTCCGCATCAAGGAAGCGAACGGCATCTTTCCGACTCGCTCCGCGTCTACTTCGCTCGTCGATCTCAGCACGACTCCCAAGGAGAACGATGTTCAGAAGTATGCGCAAATGTCCATGGTCTCGCTCCACTCGCAGGCGTCCCAGAGCCGGGAGTGCCTCCAGTCCTCGAGCGCCCGCGCCCATGGTCTCGTCAAGACCACCTTTGCCAAGGCCATCACCTGCCATGTCTGCCTCGAGAATGTCAAGAAGTCGGCCTACCTGTGCCAGAACTGCGGTCTCATCACGCACGCCAAGTGCGCAGCCCGCGCTAGCCCTCGCTGCGACGTTCGTGAGCAGCTCGCGCTCCTGGCTCATCAGCAAGAGTTTGCCGCCGCTGTCACGACGCCGCCCGAATCTCGCGCCACCTCGCCGTACCTCGCAGACACTTCGCCGACTACCTCGAACGGCCTGTCTGGCTTCCCCGGCCGGTTCTTCGGACGCGGCAACCGCTCGAAGAGCAGCCTTCTCGCTCCGTCGACGACGTCGCTTGTCGAGCCCGACAGGCGTGCTCGCTGGTCCACGGGTGCCGGCTCGAACCACTCGCGGTCGCACCTTGACGCCGTTCCGACTCCTGCGTCCAACGGCCACGAGACCATCAGCTCTGTGCGCTCGCGCCTTTCGGAGGGCAGCGAGGAGTGTGTCCGCGACCCGCGCGGCGCGTCGACGACTCTCCTCCGCATTGATGAGGACGGCCCCAGTCACGAGAAGGAGTCCGCTGGCCCACCGCCCGTCATGCGTCACGCCCCGATCGAGGGTGGCAAGCCCGTCCGCAAGCCGAGCATGCGCCTCCGCATGAAGCGCGAGAAGCGGGACAAGAACGGCGTCATGGACGACGACGACGTTGCGCCCAAGGACTGCATCGTGATGTAGTCTAGCGTCACAATCACAAAGTTTTCTCTCTTATCTCAAAGGGCATCATTTCATCAGCTTTATCTCTCATATCATCTTTCACAGAGCTTTGTGTCTTCTCCAAGGGCACGCTCCCCATTTGTACAATTATGTTGTGCTGTAGTAGAATGTAGCGCTTTGCATTGGCCCAAAAGGCAGAGTTTGCCACCGATCAACCTAGAAGTGTGCGGGTGTCCCCAAAGAAATCAGCCGGGTGGTGCGACGTACTCGCGTTCGGGTCGTCTGGCAAGGTACGAGATCGCTGGAACATGGAACATGGACCTGGCTGGCGCCAGACACTGAGATTGCGCAGCAAGTAGCATGTGGTTGCATGCGTTAGGGCCGAGGATCCGAGGAATTGGGAAACGCAACTGTGTATCAAATGTGAACGCCACAGCACCGCGCGTACGAGAATAGAGAGGGGCCAGAGGGTTTTAGCGCGTAAGCATATCTAAGCCACGGCGACATTGCCCGTGTGTCAGGTGGGGTACGTGCGTCGCACACGAGTCTACCAGAATTACATGAGTCAGCTGGGCAACCCGAGTTTGCTATAGTGGAGTGGGTATACAGAGTTTCCGCGGCTCTCGAGGGAACTCGGTGGCACGGCACTGGGCGGGACACTGGGCGGGGCACTGGCGGAACAATTCACGGCCAACTGGGCCAACTGGGGGGCGTCTTTGAGGCGTCAGATCATGAATGGGAGGGAGACTGGGAGGGAGACTGGGAGGGAGCGGGGCGTGCGGGGCGTGCAGGGCGTCAAAAACAGTCGCGCGCGCGCGCGCGCGCGCGCGCGCAGGCGCCAACTCGTGCGCTGGTTCTCCTGCTGTGTGTTGTGGGTCTTTCTGTGGCGATGCAAGGAAGTGTGGGAAGTGTGGGAATCACAACTCTGCGGCCAGAGCCACCGATGGCCACCGATGGCCGTTGATCGCTGTCTTGCCGTACCGCACGCAGGCACGCAGAAGTCGTGGTATTCGAGGAACTGGGGATCACAGGGAGCATACTGTAAGCCTGCAGGGTAGGAATGCAGACCGAGTAGCGTGTGTAGCGTGCGAAGGCTTAAAGCTTGCGAGCTTGCCAAGTGCTGGTATGCTGCATGTCACGCATGCTCGAGTGGCGAGTGCTCGCGGGTGGCCGCGAGTGGCCGCGAAGGGACGGACCGAGGTATTCGCTGGGGCGTGCCTCGAGGACCTCGAGGGGCTATCAGATATCACTCGTGCCCTCGTGCCCCCACACAGGTTCCCTCTGACCGGCTCGAGATCGTGCTGAGCATGCTGAGGAAGGAAAGCCGGGAGGGGGCATGTGATGTGGGACAAACTGGGGCAAACCTGTACATGTAACGCTCCCACGCCCCCGTAGAGTCGTACCTTGTTGGCGTGTTGGCGGTCCGAATATCCCACGAACCCAGGATAAGGGGGGGGGGGGGACCGACATTGCGATGGCGCGACTGGCGCGACTGGCTTTTCATGTTCATGTATGTGGTGGGGACGGAATGTCAGCGGAATGACAGGAATGTGAGCTGTGCTAGCTGTGTTTTGCTGGTCCGATGTGGAATGTCTGTCAATATGCGTGTGGGGCTCAACTGTCAGGTGATAACTCGTAACCCTTCGTACCTGGTCAGATTGAGTCAGCCGTACGCGATTGACATTCCGTCGCACTCCGTGCATTCCTCTCTCTTGCGCGCGTTCGGCCAGATACGCCAGATACGCCAGATACGCCAGATACGCCAGACATGCACAGATGGCTGATGTCAGTGGCGTCTGGACGTCTGAGACTGGTTGGATTGTGTCAGTTGTGTCAGCTGAGTACTGTAGGGCTTGTGTTTGTTTGTTTGTTTATGTCCTCGTCGATGAGCAGTGGGCCGGATAGTCACGATGAAGAGAAGGTGGTGATCCCCCAGTGGATACTGCGGATATGATATGACTCGTGTGATGACCCGAGAGGGGGTGTACATATCACCCTGGTGCACGGTGCGCGGCCTTTGCAGGCGTACGACAAGCTGATCGGACCAGGTCATGTATGTCCTGGACGTGATCGGTGCAATCGGCAGTCCATTGGTCAGGTCGTCGTACATCCTCTGCCCCACTGCAATCTTCATATGACCACTTTGCAGAACATCACGTCGCCACTTGTCCACTCTGTCGCCACCCAGTGACTACCCCCACAATGGACCCACCACTCGATTACCTTACGATAGCCATTCTAACTCTAGCTTACGCCGACTACACGATTAAGCACAAGAACATGAATCATCGCGCGGCCGAGTTGAGCTTCGTGTCGGATCTCGCGCGATTAAGAGCCCCCGGCTTCAGCTGCTGCCTCGTTCCGAGGTCTGTGGTATCTCGAGTATCAATCTGCTGCTCGCCGCACCGCGATGGGCTCGCTTCGCTCGCTCACTCGTCTTGATACAATAATGCATGTGGTACTACAGGATGATACGTAACATTACGTGCGCGTGGTATACAGAGAAATGAAATGCTGGGTATAGTCGTCATCAGCGGCCGCCAAGCGCGAGCTTGATCTTCATCGGGCCGGGTCCAGCCTGCTCCGTCGGCTGCACTGGCGCGTCCATCATGCCGTAGCCAAACGGCGTCGGGTTGACGGGCGTCGTCGTGCTCGGGCTCGGCGCCACGTTCTGGTTGAACTTGGGACAGTTGCGGTTCGCCTTGGTGTGGCCGTACGCGCCGCACGCACCGCAGCGGCGCTTGCCCTCGCCCTCGCCGACGTCGGGCAGCTCGCCCTTACCCGCGTACTTCTTGCGCTGCTGTCGACGTTGCTGGTTCTTCTTGAGACGGATGACCTCCTGTCGCAGCGCCTGGATCTTGAGCTCGTCCTCCTCCATGTTGCCCGTCGGCTTCAGGTTGTCCAGCTCATCCGTGTACTGCGCCAGCTTGCGCTCCTCCACTCGTCGCAGGTACGAGGTGATGACCTGCGGGTCGCGCACAATCTCGACCGTCCGCTTGCCCTTGACAACGCGGTTGATGCGGAGCACCTTAGCGGCAGCGCGGTCGTTGCCAGTGAACTGCGACTCGCCATCAAAGCTCATCGCGGAGGGCGAGCGCATATCCTCCATCGGTGAGTCGAACGCAGGCGCAGCGAGCGAGCCAGCACGAGAGAACTGTCGCGGTGGCTCCTTGGCGAAGCGAGGCGCTAATCCGGCAGGCGTCGGCTCGGTCACCGATGACCGGTGCTCGTCCTCCTGCGTGAGCGACGGCGGCTTCGGGTTGCTGAGTGCCGCCCACTGCAAATCCCACACCTTGCGCTTCTCCTCTTCGTAGATGCGACTCTGCTCCGCGTTCGAAATCTTGACGGGACCTCCGCCGGCCTTGGCCTCAGCCTCCAGTCGACGACCTTCCTCGGTTTCGCCCTTTCGCAGGAAGTAGTTCTTCATGTTCGTCTTCAGGAAACTGAAGCCCTCTCCGCGACCAGTCGGATCGCCGTCGCCGTGAACCTGCAGCCAAGCCTTCTGCGCCTCCGCTCGCTTGTAGTTCAGCGTGGTTGCCCATACAGCGAGGCGCTGCTCGACGTCTAAGCCTTCCTCGCCCTTGTCTCCAAACTCGTCCTCCGCGTTTCCGTCCGCTGTCTTCGTGTAACCGGCGTCGCGAAGGTGCTGGGCTCCAACCTGCATGGCCTCGTAGAGCGAAGCATACTCAGGCGTAACCATGCGAAGAACGTCCTTCTTCTCCTTCGGGAAGTCGTACTTCGGGTTCAGCTTCCAGTAGCCAGAGTGGAACTTGGAGTCGTGGTCGTACTCGAGGAACTCGTTGCCCTTGATCTTGAGACGCTGACGCATCTGCAGCTCAGTCTGGTCGGGGAAGTACTTGAGCAGCCGCGCAAGCTTAACACGCTGCTTCTCGGGGTCCTTGTTCTTCTTGATTAAGATCCACGCGACGATCATGAGACGGTGCTTGGCTGTCGTCGTGTTCTTACGGGCGTGCGGACCCGGAACCTCCGACATGTTCGGCACCGTCTGGCCGACAGTGAACAGGTGGTTGATCTCGCGAATGTAGTAGGTCGCGTGGCCATTGATGGTCTGGCGAATGACCAAGAAGTCGGTATTCTCAGGCTGGTGCTTGAAGATCGGAGCACGGATGAGGTTATTGTGAATGACCTGGGTAACCTTGCCGGGGTCAACGTAGCCGAGAAGGAACGGCTCGGCGTCTCCGACGTTGAGAATAGAGGGCTGGCCAAGCTCGAGTTTCGGCACGTGCTCGTCCTTGTCGTCCTTCTTGCGGTAGTAGTTGACAATCGTCGTGCCCATTCCGTAACCGCTCATAATCGGAGGGCACTCCTCAGAGAACTCGAGCAGCGCGAACGGGCACTTCTCGGTGACAGAGAGATCCTTGGTCGTCTTGAAGCGCTCCGCAGGGTCCGCCACGAACTTGCCCTTGCTCTTATTAGGATTCGGCTTGAGCTTCGCGAAGGACAGCCAGACGTTGTTCGGGAACTGCAATGGCGTGCGATGCCATGTTCTAGCTTCGTTCTTGTTCAGAGTCGTCTTGTAGAACGGCATCTGCAGGATCTGGGCAGGAATCGAATGGAACACCTCAATCGCACCGAACGTCTGGCGAATGCGGTAACGTGAAGCCCTGGTGTGCTCGTATAGATGGTCGTTACCGATGTTGAACTTGTCGAGCTTGGACACGGCCTCGGTGCTCTCCGTCTTCTTCGTCTCTTGCGTCTCGGCTTCCTCCTCGTCCTCGTGGTCTTCCACGAGATCCGGTGTGGCCAGCCGCGCATCCCAAACGACTTCCCGCAGCCAGTCACCAGCATCGATGTGCGTGTTGCGAAGCTGGTTCGGGTCGTGCACGCGCTTGGGTTGAAGGTCGGGATCCCTGATGTCAGTTGAGACCACAGCGGACAACTCACAATGAGCACATGATAACGTCGCTTTCCCAGTCCGCCAGGTCGAGCATTTTTCCGTCATCGCCGTTAAGATCTATTCCGGGAGGAGGTCGAGTCATTTCCTCTCTCCGGATCTCTCTGGCGTCCTTGATCCAGTCGGGGTCGAACCACTCGCCTATGGGAGCAAGATAGCTCGACTTTGTCTGATCCGACCCCGGAAGCGACGGCAGGTTGGGAAGAAGAAACGAGACCTTGGAGCTAGACTTCTTAGGCTGGTCCACTGTGATGGCATCTGAATTGTCAGTTGACATCGAGTCAGACTCAACTCACGTTCTTCCTTTGGCGGCCCCTCCAACAGTCTGCGCTTCTTCTTGAGAATGCCTGCGCGCCTTGACTGGGCAGCAGCTGGCGTCTCGTAGAACACCTCGCTCATCTTGAGCATCGTACCGGGTTTGTAGTCCGGCCAGACAGTCATGACGCGGTCCTTCTCGGTCTCCTCGCGCTTTTGTCGCCGCCGTTTGTCAGCATCCGTCGGCATGGCTTTCAGATCGTTGGCAGCACGGCGGGCCCATCGTTCCTCCTCGGCCTTGATCGCGGCCTGCTCTCTTCGTCGGGCCTGCTTGTCCTCCTCGGTCTCCTCCGGGAGCCCATCGTCGCTGACGTCGTCCATGTACTGGCCCTCCTCTTCGAGCGCCTGTTCAATGTCGCGCGACCGCTTGCCCTCCGTCTTCTCGAGGAAGGCCGAGAGGGCGTTGGCGTCGACGCCGACATCGGCGAGGACGCTACCGAGACCGAAGGCCGATCCGAGAACGTCGTCGTCGCCTTCGGACATGTTGGATGCGCGGGTCGTGGGTGTGGGTGGAGTGTTCGAGGTCGAGGAAGGTGATGGTGGGAGGCAAATGACAACAAGAGAGCCTCGACGCGCGGATGCACGTGGCTAAGTGGGTGGGCGGAACAAGTTGATGGGTGGCGGCTTTGGCTGGGGGTCTGAGCGTCGTTCTGTTCTGTTGGCAAGTTGCGAGGCCCCGCTTGAGCTTAAGTACCTGGGCGGGATGTCACGTGTGATTAGGTAACGATTGTTCCTTAATGAAGACACGGATCGGCCAATGAATGCAGTCGAAAGGACGCGTCTATTATTGTTATTGCATCTGCCCGCATCGTCGTTCTTGCAACCAGCCGTCGTCTGTGCTGTGCGGACCCCGACACTGCCGCCCGGTCCGCCCTCTTTGATTGGGTCTCATCACCCGTCTCCACAAGCCTTCGTCAGCGACCTCTGCAAAGGGTAACGTTTCGGCTTCGACAGCCCGTTTTCCATCTCTTCCCGGGTAGCGCCAACCGGTCGTGGAGCGCGAGGTCGTGTCCCTTCAACTTCAAAGGGCCCCGTCCTCGTCCTTCACTCCATCTTTTTCCGCGCTGCTTATCAATCCTACTCTAACACTATCCTAGAGGCCTACGATGATCATGAGAGACTCTGTCGACGACTTCCCTGACGACGACATTGACCTCTTGTCGTCACCCGTGACCCTCCCTAATGGCGTCACCATTCCGAACCGCTTGGCCAAGGTGAGTAACAGTCGTGTGAGATGCGACTACACTTTGAGCAATGTTGATGCATAGGCGGCTATGGAGGAGGGCATCCCTGGTGGACTGCCAGGACGGCGTCATCGGAAACTCTACAGTCGATGGGGCAAGGGCGGTTGGGGAGTGATTCTGACGGGTGAGTTGCTGACGTCTCCGCTTTGACGATAACTGACCCCAAGGTAACGTCCAAGTGGACGCCAGCCAGTCTGGGACTCCGTTCGACTTGCGCTTCAACGATGACCCGCACACGGTTCCTCGGTTTCACGAGCTGCACGAGTCCATCATCCCGCCACATTACGCGGGCCCCGATGCGCCACTGACGCTCGTGCAGCTGAACCACGCCGGGATGCAGTCCTCACCGACATTCTCCATGTGCAGAGCCCCGTGGATTCCCTCCGTTGCCCCGGTGAGCGCGCGGCCGGATCTGGGGTCTGGGCCGGTCGCTTGGGCCATGGCGCGCACGCTGTGGCCCGTCCCCTCTCGCGCCGTGACGGACTTGGCCGAGTGGCTGGACATTGCGGGCCGCTTCGTCGACGCAGCGGCATGTATGGAGGAGGCGGGCTGGGGAGGCGTGCAGCTCCACTCGGCTCACGGATACCTCCTTGCGCAGTACCTGTCGCCTCTTGTGAGTTCAGAATTCGATCTCGCGAACTGACCCCAGACGAACCCGCATCCGCATGCGTTGCCCGGAGTGCCGGACCACATCCCCCTAAGGCTGCACCTGATGTGGATCATCCTCACGGGCATTCACGCCGTCACATCCGCGCGTTTCGTCAAGGCGCTCAAGATCAACTGCTCCGACTTCATCGCAGGGGGACTAGACGAGAACACGTCAGCCGAGATCATCAGAGAGATCGTGTCGTGGCGTCTCGTCGACCTTCTCGAAATCTCCGGCGGCACCTACACCAACCCAAGTAAGTTCTCTAATTTCCATGCCTCGACGCCTTCTGTCTCAGCCACGCTGACATCTCAGTGTTCACGGCATCGTCCATGTCGCCGCAGAACCCGTCCCCACGCCAATCGCTCTTTGCGCACTTCACGGCAGCTCTGCTCCCCACTCTGCCGGCGCCCCCGTACGGCCCGGCCATAATGCTGACGGGCGGCCTGCACGACCGCGCGCTGATAGCGAGCTCGCTGCGGAACAAAGCGTGCCACCTGGCGGGCATCGGGCGGCCGGCGGCCGTCGTGCCCGACCTGCCGCGGCGCGTGCTCCTGAACCGGGAGCTGGACGGCTCCAAGGCGCGCATAGCGTATGACATTCCGCACGCCGAGGCGGCGCGGCGCCTCCTGAACGCGCAGATCTTTGCCCCGCGCACCCCCAGGCCATCCAAGCCATCCACACGCCCGCGGCGCTGGGCAAGCCACACGTCCTCATGCCCCTCCAACCCCTCCAGTCCCTCCACGGCTAGCTTCATCAGCCTCGACGATCCCGAGTGCACATGTGCGGAGAACGAGGCGATCGAGCGCGCCAGCAACGGTTCGGGCGTCAAGCTCGTTGGCGCGGGCATTGGCACGACGTGGCACGAGTGGCAGATGGCGAGGATGGGACGGGGGGAGGAGCCGGATCTCGAGCTCGACTGGTTCAGGGGCCTCGCGACCGAGACGCTGTGGCAGACCATCTGCGCCGGAGGGCCGGTCAATTGGCTCAAGCGCTGGTGGGGGAAGGACTGGTAGACTGGTAGATGGCATACGATTACGAATATACACTGTGGGTTCTTGCATGTACAATCATACACCTTTTTGGCTCTATCTGGGGAGGGGTAATGGACATGTGCGCGGTATCGAATGTGAAGGAGGCGGGCCCGGATCGTGTCTAGTGGGCGAGAGAGGTGGTATCGTACAACACACAAAGGCATGGTCGGGTGACGGCGGAGGCAGTTGTCCATCGTTGATCAGATCGTCTGGTTCGTGGGCGCGCGGCGCAGGCTATAGCCGAACGAGCGACTGAGGATGAGAGCCGCAATCTCCGTGTCCCTGCTCGAGTCGGTCGTGGAGTCGTCGTGGACTTCGTAAATGGCATGTCGGCGCTCATCGTGTCGCCGTTCGGCGCCTCGCGGTGGCAGTGCGGATGGCTCCTCCAGTACCTCCTGCACGTCCTCGATCTCGGAGAAGGAGTACATCGACGCCTCCCTAGCTTTGCCCTTGCCCTTGCCACTGCCATTCCAGTTGAGGATGCCCGGCCGCGTCCTCGTGCCCCGGGCGGCGACGCGGATCGACGGCGTCGCAGTGCTTGTGCTGATACTGATGTTGCTATCGCGGCACTCGCTCCCGCTCGCCGTCGCCTGGCTTTGGCTCATGCCCGTCGCGGCCGCAGTGCCAGTCGCGTCCGTCGGGGCGTAGCTGTAGACTGACTCGTGTCGCTCCCATCCGCCAAGGGCGGCGATAACGTGCCGCATGTCGTCGATCGTGTCCACTGTATCCAGCGTGCCGCCCGAGACGATGTGTCGCCGTCGTGGACGCGGATATGTCGCCACCGTCGGAGTGCGCGCGAGCTTGGCAGAGATTGCAATCTTGTGCAGTACGCGGGCAAACCAGCGCATCACCGCGACGACGCCCTGCTTGTCAGCTTGTCAGAATCTGTGGCGGAGCTGGACTCACACTCTGCTTGCGTTGCGAGAGGCGTTCGGCCATGGTGTGGTGCGTGTGAGGGTGCGTGTCGTCGCCGCTGCGGCTATGAGTGCTCCCCATGGTGGATCAGGAATAAGCCGCGCGGCGAGGTCGTGTGAGTGCTTTAATGCACGCAGCCCGGCGCCGCGTCGCCGGTGACGATGATGGTGTCGGAAGCTTGGAACAGCGACCGGGTAGTCGTAACCCGATTGCTAAAGCAGGGAACGTTGCAGACGATAACGGGCGATAAGGCGGCGAGGGGAAAAACAACAAACACGTGCAGGGTGACCTCGATGGAGGATGTGTTGATCTGCAGATTCGAGTTGCCTGTTGTGCGTCGCGAAATACGTCGCCCCTTTTATTGCATGACGTGTGGGCGTTGTGAGCCCCGCATCTCGCACCCGTCGGACATGGGCGTATCCGGTTGCGCGATGCGCGAACGCGAACAACAAAGGGTGAATCATCTCGTCCGAGACGAAGCTCACCCGTACTCCTCGAGCCAGAAGCATCGCCTTGAGCCTTCCTTCCCCGCACCGCTGCCAGTGTTCCCCCACTTCCGTCGGTGTCCGAGCGTTCCGTCCACGTCCATGCGCTCCCTACGTCCAATCGTCGTACACGCTTCATGCATGCTCACCCGCAGGACGACCTGCAGGAACAGTGGCGATCCCCTCCTCGGGTTCCAGATCCAGGGTGCCGGGCGGTGCGATGGGCGATGAGCTCGCTCATCGCTTGCCGCGCCGCTTGGGCGTGTCTTGCTCCATCTTCGGATTCGGCCCCGCAAGCTCGAGCTGAGTCACCTCCTCCCACTCGCGTGCCGTTTCCCAGCGCTCACCGCCACGGCCAAGATCACGCCACCGCTCAATCGCTGAGCGCGCGTCCTCGAATTTGGTAGACGGGTTCATCAGCGTCGCCGCGAGACCGTCCATCTCCACTAAGTGCCGGTTGTGCACTGAGACAAGCTGGGACAGAGAGTTTACTGAGAAGTTAGCTGTACTCAGACCCCAGGACAGCTTACCGAAATCCTCGAAAGTCCATGACAGCCACAGTGGGTCAGACAACACGAAGTCGTACTTCTGGGTTTTGCACACCTCAAAGAACAACCGGTCTGCTTGGTCCGCAAGACCATTCAGCTTCACCAGAAGTCGCTCCTATTTGTTAGCTCGGCCAAGGAATCGAACAGCTCACCAGCTTGACCAGAACACCCTGCAGAGACTCGCGCGCCTCCATCAGCCTCTCCAGATGCGGCCCGACGAGTGCCCGTTCCGGACCCTCCGGGTTCAGGAGAATATTACTGCTCGTCAGATCACGACTTTTCGCAGCAGAAGTAAACTCACTCCATCTCAGTAGCCTCGTCAATGCACGACTTTCCCGCTTTCAGCCCGTCGTGCGTCACAATGTCGTCCCAGGTACTGAGGACATTCCGGACCTCAGCAAGGACCATCTTCAGCATTCGATGGTGTGTCGTTTCTGTCGGGCGCATTGGTGACTGCGCCGGAGATGGCGAGGGAGAAGGCGACGAACGCCTTGACGGCGTGGACTGCAGCGAGGCGAGGCGCGACATGGTATCTGCTTCTGCAGTCGAGAGGCCGATGTGGCTGAGGTCGATCGTTCGCAAGTCAAAAGTCAACAGAGGGAAGGGACCATGACGCAACTTTGTACCACGTGACCATATGCACCCGCGCCGAGACACTTACGGTGGCGACTCTGGGAAGGGCAAGTGATTTGCAGGACGTCCCCGGACGGTCCAGACCGGCTATCTCGCAACCTCGCTGCATCTCTCATCTGCACTCAATCCTTCAACCGATTACCACCTCGACACACCCCTGCTTCTGGACGGCGGGGGATTGTATTTTCAGCTAGTACATCAACTGTATATTAGACCCGACACACACCAAAGGACCGCCGCCATCATGCTGCGCAGGGTCCCGGCCTTGCGGCCCAGACTCATGACAGCCAGCCCTCGACCGATTCTTCTTCGGCATCACCAACCTGCCCTGGGACTGGGACGAGTAACAACTCCTTCAAGAGCCCTCCATGTCCGCGCCATTAGCTTCGGCACCATCCCCCGCATGGTTGCCAGGGCGTTCCGGGTACCGCTGTACGGCGCTGCGATCGGCGCCGGTGGAGTGGGATATGCGAACTACAAGTTTGAAGGTACGTCGTGTGACGAGCTACCACCCCACAGTTCTCCGTCGTCAATGGCAGTAAGGCCAAGCAATCGTGGAGCTTGGTAGACGTCTACGAGCACCAGCTGACTCCCAGGCGTTAGAACTGCGACGATGGACACCCTCGGAAAGATCCAGGACACCCTCTCCGGCGCTTACTCGTCGACGGCCGAAAAGCTCGGCAGCGCCTACGACACGACCTCGTCAACGTTGAGCGAGCTCAGCAACAACATCTCGGGCGGCATCAACGAAGCGACGGCTCAGGCACAGACGCAGGCCGATGCGTTTAGGACGGGGGCGAAGGACTGGTGGGAGGCGTTCACCTCGCAGTTCGTCAAGCCCCAGGAGACAAAGTCGGAGAATTCGAGCAAGGAAGAATCCCACACCTTCAAGACGCAGCCTGAGGAGCCTGAGCCTGAGGGTCCCAGTGGAGGTGGCGAAGCTGCTGTAGCCGCTGCGGCGACCGCTGCCGCCTATGCTGCTTCGGACGACGATGAGGACAAGCAGGAGAGCTCGTCCGAATCTCCTGCCGCTCTCGTTCAGCTCACCAAGAAGTTGATCGAGATCCGCAACGTCCTGCTCAGTGTTGATCAGAGTGACGCGCTCAAACTCCCGAGTATCGTTGTCATCGGCTCTCAAAGCTCTGGAAAGAGCTCTGTTCTGGAGGCCATCGTTGGCCATGAGTTCCTGCCGAAGTGAGTTTACATCCCGGTACCTTGCATCGCTAACTCTCAGGGGCGACAACATGGTCACTCGCCGACCTATCGAGCTGACTCTAATCCACACACCCCGGAAGCCCGGAGCGAGCGAGCCCGTCGAGTACGGAGAGTTCCCAGACATCCCACACCTGGGCAAGGTCAGCAACTTTGCGACCATTCAGAAGACGCTCACGGACCTCAACCTCTCGGTTCCTGCCGAGGAGTGCGTCTCGGACAAGCCGATCCACCTCAACATCCACTCCCCCAACGTTCCCGACCTCACTCTCATTGACCTGCCCGGCTACGTCCAGATTTCGTCGCTCGACCAGCCCGAGAACCTGAAGGAGAGCATTTCGGCGCTGTGCGACAAGTATATCCGGGAACCGAACATTATCCTTGCCGTCTGTGCCGCTGATGTCGACCTCGCGAACTCTCCGGCTCTGCGTGCGAGCCGCCGTGTCGACCCTCTGGGCACCCGCACCATCGGCGTAGTGACGAAGATGGACCTTGTGCCCCCGCAGCAGGGTGCTTCGATCATCGGAGGCAACAAGTACCCGCTAAACCTTGGTTACGTCGGTGTTGTTTGCAAGGCTCCGCCGGTCAAGAGCGGGGGCGTCTTTAGCTCCATGCGCGGCGACAGCGGCACGATCACGAGGGCGGTTCTCAAGCGCGAGAGCGAGTTCTTCGGTGGAGAGAACGCCGGCTTCTTCAGGGGCTATTCGAGGACAGGCAAGCCGCTCATGGTCGGCACCGATACGCTCCGACGACGCCTCATGGATGTGCTGGAGACGAGCATGGCCTCGTCGCTGCATGGTATTACCAATGCCGTCCAGCTCGAGCTCGAAGAGGCCAACTACCAGTTCAAGGTCCAGTACAACGACCGACGGATCACCTCCGAGTCATACGTCGCCGAGACGGTTGATGCGCTCAAGGCGCGCTTCAAGGAGTACACGTCCCAGTTCAAGAAGCCGGCGGTGCGCGCCAAGCTCACCGACATGCTGGAGGACAAGGTTATGGACATCCTTGAACAGCTGTACTGGAACGACGAGGTACGGGCCCAGGAGCTGTCCCGACTGGGAGAAGACAAGAAGCTGGCGTCATCGGAGGACATTGACCCGTATTGGCGATACAAGCTGGAGACGGCCTCTTCGCTCCTGACCAAGTCCGGTATCGGACGCGACTCTACGTCTCGAGTGGCAGACGGCTTACGTGGTCTGATTGACAGCATCGCTGCTGGCGAGCCGTTCACATTCCACCCGGGTGCCTCTGACCGCATCGTCGACTTTTCTCACGCTATTCTCCGCGAGCGCATGGGAGTGACGGCGGACCAGGTGGAGAACTGCATCAAACCCTACAAGTACGAGGTCGAAATCGAGCCGAGGGAATGGGAGCAGGGACGGGAACGCGCGGACCACAAGTTTGCGGAGGAGATTGTGCTGTGTGACGCCAAATTGGCCGAGATCAAGCAGCGCGTGGGCGGCGGAAGGAGGCTGAACGGTCTCGTGAAGCATGTTTCAGACCTGGAGAAGTGGCAGGAGGAGAAGAAGGCGCGGGCTGCCCTGGGCGACGAGCCGCCTGAGGGCGAGGATGCGGGCGCCGAGCCGCAGCTCGACGCTTACAAGTATTCTCCGGCCCAGATCATTGACGGTAAGTTCTTGTTGTTTGCGGGAAGCCGCAAGGAACCACAAGGAAGTCGCAAGGCAATGTACTGACGAAACTCTAGGCCGACACGCGCTCCTACTCCAGAACCGGCTCGCCCTCCTCAAGGCTCGCCAGCATGCGATCCGCTCGAAACGCTGCAAGGCGGGTCCGGAGCAGGCCGCGTTCTGCCCTGAGATCTTCCTCACCGTTGTTGCCGAGAAGCTCGCGTACACGAGCACAATGTTCATCAACATTGAGCTGCTCGAGCAGTTCTTCTACCAGGTAAGCTGTAGGAGTCGGTAGCTGAGCTGACACCAGTTCCCGCGCGAGATCGACTCCCGCATCCTGTACGACCTGGACCGCGACGAGATCAAGAAGTTTGCGCTGGAGAACCCGAAGATTCGAAAGCATCTCGAACTGCAGGAGCGAAGGGACAAGCTGGAACAGGTGAGTGCCTTTTGATCGATGAAACGCGACGTAGTGCGGCAAGTGAATGGCACCTGCCGAGCACGCGGCCGAGGTGGTCGAGGGGTGCGCTCGCCCCGTGGTGGGTTTAGAGCACGGTTGTGCCTAGGTTTGATCCGAACCTACTTTTTCTGCCCTCGTGCCGTCAACGCAGCCTCCACGCATCCTTGATTGTCGCGCGTGCATGCTGCGGTGTGCCTGTCCTGACCTGACCTTCATTGCCTGATTAACTTGCCCACTACGTGGTGTTCGGAAGCTTTTGTGCATCGTTGCTGACCAGTCACAGGTTCTGCGCTCGCTGCAGTCGCTCGTGAACCTGCACTCGGAGCAGGACACGCACACGCGCGGCAAGAAGGACAGCGGCCTCTTCAGCAAGTTTATGTAAAATCTGGGACACTTAGACTTCTCCACTCACCCCCCACATCCACCACTTTCACGCCCCGAAAAGCAACATACTAGTTAACGATTCTTCTAAGCATTATTATTGATCCACCCTTGCGGGCGTGCCCGTCCATCTGATCGTGAAGTCTGGTTGCGTACGCCAGACGCGTATCTCGTTTATGTTTCATGCCGCCAAACTCCTGCGCATGAGGGAGTACGTTGTAGCGCGCCAGGCTCACTGTCGGCCGGAAGCGTACGGAGGACGGGTACAGGTGTGCGCCGGCTGTGCGCAAGCTTGTTGTGGACCCATTATTCCGGAAGCCGCTTCACTGGCTGTCTGGTGCTACGGGTGCATCGTCGCACGTCCGTCTGTGTCTCTCGGTACGACTTGAAGCCCTGTATCCTGATCTGGTTGTATATCTGATGCGCCACGTCCTCTCAGTGACCAGTAAGCAGCGAGGGTGCGTTAAGGCGTACGTGCGCTGCCTGGCTGCGACTTTGTGCACAGACAGAGAAGAAAGGGGGTGAGAAGCAAATCAAGGTGAGACGCACGAGACAGGCCGCCACGAGCCGCCACGAGCCGCGAGACAAGAGTGAAAGGGAGGAAAGAACCGGGGGGGGGGGTGAACTAAACATGTGCGAAGCCCTGGACAAGTTGGGCAGACTGGACATTGATCGCTTGGCATCTACGATCCACGAGCTTTTGAGCAACAGACGATTTACGCGATTTACGATTATAAGCAAGTCGATTACGTCCTTCTTCACGTCCCGTGAAAAAGGAAGTCGTGCAGAACGTGCCGAGCGTGCCGAGCGTGCAGAGCGTGCAGAGCACGCCGTGGTCAGTCACCGCCGTTCTGATTCTCCTAAACGAACATCGGCGAGGTGAGGTGTCGGCGCAACAAAATGCAGGCACCATTTGTGCGTCGCCGGGCCTGGCATGGCATACTGGCAGGGTTGAGCGTGCATCATCGTCAATCAATTGCGCCGGATCCCGGCCAACCCGGCACGGCGCGTCCTCCGGGTGCCGAAGGCGCCTCTGGGCCTGGCTTGGCTGACGGGTGTGGCTGCAGTAGCCTCAGCCACTGCCCCAGACGTCCCCGCAGTGATCTCCACTGTTCTCCACGGGCTACATTCGTACCTCTCCGACTGAGTCTTTTTGTACTAACGCTGGAAGAAGAGGAGCCAGAAGAAAGAGATGCAAGAGGGGGGGTATAGAGGGAGGGGTACTTGCAAGGAACCGAGGAGAAAAACTCGCAGCACCTGGTCTTGTCTTCAGGAGAGAGGCGAGAAGAGTACCTTTCTCGCGATTTTCTTAAGGGTTCAATCATACTCTTGCAGATCATTTGTGTCACTGTTTGCCCAGGGTCAAAGTCGCACGGCGTGCAACGCGTTCTCCGCTTTCTTCCACGCTCATCATCCAATGTCATGAGCCAAGCCAAGGCCAGTCTGGCCAGTCCCGCGACTACTGTCTGTTTGTCGTGGTGGGCGCTGGCGTCGACGCACGTACGCAGGTGAGCATTCGGGCCTTAATGACGGGAAGTCTCTCCCCATAGCGACTGCGATGGGCCGTCCTGAGCTGGGGGCGCGGAATGGAATTTCTGGTGGTTCCGACACACGAAGTCGGATAGGCCTAGTTGCCATTATTCTTTCGGGCTTGTCGTTTTGCTTGCAAAGTATTCCGTATTGAGCGAGCGTCAAACGACCCGCTGGCCCGCTGGCCGCTCTTCTCGTCGTCGTCGCAGTTATGCAGAGACAGCAGGCGCAAGATGAATAATAATAACCTTTTCGGCCCCTGGCCTTGTGTACCCTTCTCCCTTCCCTGAGCTTACTGTGGGTGAAAGGCTCGGATGCTCGGCCAAGCTCGGCCCAGCGTAAGTTCCCTGAGCCCCTCCGCTGCTGCCAGACTGGGGCCGGTGGGGAGCGCCGTGGCTGCCGGGCTGCCGGCTGACCAGTCGACAACTCTGGCCCTGAGAAGACTATAAGGTTTTTGCCATCTGCCCTTGTGCCTCTCTACTTGCCTCTCCAAGCACAGGTGCTATGGGGAGTACGCACCGCGTCCGCCTTGTTCGAAGTGTTCACCCGCGCCAGCGTCACGTTTCAGAGTGTACTGGGTGTGCTGGGTGTGTGTTTGACTGTGGGACGAGACTGAGTTCCCGAAATTTCTTCTGCGCGAGCAGTCCTCTGGCACCATTCATTCGTGGATCGTGGGCAGGGAGAATCCGACAGCCACCGCTGTTTCCGGCAGTGTTGCCGACTGAGCTCGTATCTAGTAGTATCGTCGGACATGCCGACATCTGACACGCACACTTGGCATGAGCTTGGGAAGCTTATCAGGCCGTGACAATGAGTGCGCCAGTGGGCCGTAGTGGGTCGTGTTTCGAGGCTCGCCAAAGCCACTGCACCCGGCGCCGTGGCGCCGAGGCCCAAAAGGCGCACGCCCAAGTTCCAAGGTAGCGTTTCAGATTTGAAGAGCCAACAGCGAACCGTTCTTTCGATGGATGCACGAGCAGGCCATTCCCGTCAGATGACGGTGGAGAGGTCGTTATAGAAGGGCCTCGAAGGCTTGCGACAATTGTCAGAACTGCACGCTAGTCTGATGCACAGCTGATATGGCTGGACAATGTACAATGAGAAGGGGACTGACGACTTGGCGGGTCTCACAGGCGCAGGCCGGGCTCTCCACTAACTCTCCGAGACAAGGGAACCAACCACTCGCACTCACGCCGCATCTTCTCGTTCACCCCGGCTCACCGTCTGTGCGCCAGACAAGCATGATCATGGCCATGCTGTAACCTATCATTCACATGAGAAATGCGTTCGGAGGGCAAGCTCCACTCGTGTGCGGAGCACTGGAACGAGAGTCGGATGCATTCTTCAGGATCCATGTGTGAGTCCAGCCCCTCTTCATCCACGACATGTCGAGAGTTCTCTCGAGAACGAGAAAATTACACTGCCCACTAGACTACTATTCTGTGTACGTACATGGAGTACATGCGACACCGAGATGAAGCCACCGACACCTGCCAGCTGCTGGACCGCTGTGGGCTGCATGTGCTGGGGAGTTTGCGGGTGAATCAATGTGAGCGCGATAACCTAAGAAACAACGTAATGCAGGGTTTCACATGGCCGTGCGTCCACCTGCGTCCACATCAGCCATCACCCATGTCTGGGCATTAACGTGGAACCTGTCGGCATCGGCGTCAGAGAGCAGCATTACATGATCCAGCATCCAGCACAGTGGCACCTCGCTCTTTCGCCCGATGAAGAGCCCCCCCGACACCACATGCACCACCGCGCCCTCCACCCTTTCAATGGGCTCGTAGCTCTGCTCCGGCGCTCCGGAAGCCTAAAGCGAAGCGTCTCTTCTTTCAATTCTCTCTCCCTTCTCTGTTTTTGCACTGCCGGACAGAATCAACTCCTGGGACCTGGCCACGTTAGCTTTTAGCCCTCCGCTCGAAAAGAATGGGACGAAACGAACGTCGGACAGAACAGAACACACACACAGTCCTTGGTCTGTCAGACCTTCAGACCTTCAGGGCCCGGGTGATGCGCTCGATCCGACGATCAAGCTTTGCGTTGAAGCTGCGCTGTTGATGTTGATGGTTGAGGTGAGACACGGCGAGAGTAATGCACAGGCAGAAGGAAGAAGCGGGACAGCTTCGCTCAACCCGCACCACGCGACGGGCGGTTCGGACCCTGAGAGACTCTTACAAGCTGGCTGGGCCGTGGTGCGTCCTGTCCCTTCCTGGGCCGGGAGGGGCGCAGTGAGTGGACCCTGGAGGTTCTGTATGAGATGTATGGGCCCATCCCCTTAATCATAAGGTCAAAAGCACAGTCGTGCTCGACGCCAGTCCCGTCAGCATTTCGATATGCCTGTAAGTGCATTGAACCAGGCTGGCCAAGCCGTAGTCAGCAAGCAACCAGACTGCAAGCAGAAAGGTGATCGCCACCATGTAGGTTGATGAAAACTGAGCTCCCCCTGACATGGCTGTCAGAGGATCAAGAGAGAGAATGGTGCTAGTGGCCCGTAGCCCCCGCCAGGCAATGGTACAATGGTGCGGTTAAGTGTGATGTGATGGATGCGGGGGGCGTGACAAGAGCGAGCTGCGACGAGGCGACGAGGAATGGCTCGACCCTGCGGGCTGCTTCCCTCCGTGTCCTGAGTGTCCTGGACGAGTCCTGGAGAGTCCTGACCGATCCTGCGCCCTGCGACATTCCCTGGCGCCCTTGGGCTCTCACCCTCTGCTACGCTCTCGCCTCAGCCTGGAGCCTGAGTCTGAGCCTGAACTCTACTCTGAGCCTGCCTGGGTGAGCTTTGGCTGACTGGCTGGCTGGCTGGCTGGCCGGGATGGCGATGGCTTTATGGCTCACCGCACTGGCACTGGCGGGCGAGTCACTCACTGGCGCACTGGCTGAGCACACCCACACCACACCCATACTCCCATACCACCACCACCACCCGGCGCCATCCACCCAGCCAAAACGCGGCCTATCCGTACCCTGCCAACCCGCCAGCCAACGTCCCTACCACCACTGCCAATCGTCCACCATCTCCACTCACCCCCGATTACAAGACACTCCTACTCACTCACTTCTCTCGTTCACTCCACGATCCA